GTGTGATGGTCAGGCGTCCACATATATGTTCCCCTATGGTAGGTGTGATGGTCAGGCGTCCACATATATGTTCCCCTATGGTAGGTGTGATGGTCAGGCGTCCACATATATGTTCCCCTATGGTAGGTGTGATGGTCAGGCGTCCACATATATGTTCCCCTATGGTAGGTGTGATGGTCAGGCGTCCACATATATGTTCCCCTATGGTAGGTGTGATGGTCAGGCGTCCACATATATGTTCCCCTATGGTAGGTGTGATGGTCAGGCGTCCACATATATGTTCCCCTATGGTAGGTGTGATGGTCAGGCGTCCACATATATGTTCCCCTATGGTAGGTGTGATGGTCAGGCGTCCACATATATGTTCCCCTATGGTAGGTGTGATGGTCAGGTGTCCACATATTTTCGGCTACACAGCGAATCCTCAGTGCCGAGTGTTATTGGTGACCTCACCAGCGCCGGCCCCCTCACCAGCGCCGGCCCCCTCACCAGCGCCGGCCCCCTCACCAGCGCCGGCCCCCTCACCAGCGCCGGGCCCCGGTAAGAGCAGCCCGCAGCCACCCAGTGCTGACCTCCTGCACAGACATCAGGCTTTAGGCCGCCACTACTGACCTGTTGTACTGCATGAACACCAGATTCCAGATCTCCACCACGTCCGGACTGTCCTGGTTCACCAGAGCCGAGGCGTTCCGGCCACCCACGTGATCGTAGTGAATCTCTGTACAGGGGCCACAGGGGCCCATCTCCCCCATTTCCCAGAAGTTTTCCTTCAGACCGAATGGCAGCAGGCGTGATGGTGGAATACTGAGGGCGACACGAGAACAGACGTGTTGTACAGACGGAGTGATGAGGACACACATACGTGTAACCGATCTATCCTCTGAACGGAGGCGGAGCCGAGGCCGGGGGGGGGCGGGGTAACTCACGGGGTTCTGGAAATGAATATTATTCGCTTCCTGCGCATTCAAATCCGCTGCGCTACAAAGCCCCGCCTCCCGCTCCCTTTATACAACGTCATCGAACGCGCTCGGCGCTCCCAAGTAAAACAGACGCTCAGCTGTTGTCACGTTGGATCCTCAGTCTCTGTCCTCCTGAATGGAGGGAGTTCCGTTTGTTTATAGGGATCGCAGCAGGAAGTCCCGGCTACAACAGCCAATCGCTTCCTCAGTACATTTACATAACGCAGCGTCAGCCAATCAGACGCATGTATACATCTGAATAGACAATAGAAGGGGGAGTGTATGCTCGTGCATGTGAAACACACCGTGCACAGCTCTCAGCTGCTAGTGCATGTGAATTCCGTGCACGGCTCTCAGCTGCTAGTGCATGTGAATTCCGTGCACGGCTCTCAGCTGCTAGTGCATGTGAATACCGTGCACGGCTCTCAGCTGCTAGTGCATGTGAATACCGTGCACGGCTCTCAGCTGCTAGTGCATGTGAATACCGTGCACGGCTCTCAGCTGCTAGTGCATGTGAATACCGTGCACGGCTCTCAGCTGCTAGTGCATGTGAATACCGTGCACGGCTCTCAGCTGCTAGTGCATGTGAATACCGTGCACAGCTCTCAGCTGGTGCCAGTAGGAGATGCCGGTGGGAGAGGTTGGTAGGAGGTGCCGCAGGAAGCGTATAATATTCATTTCCAGAACGAGAGGCGTGTAGAGGACTCGGAGTGCGAGTTACCCCGCCCCGGCACAAAATTCACATGCACTAGCAGCTGGGAGCTGTGCACGGAATTCACATGCACTAAGAGCTGGGAGCTGTGCACGGAATTCACATGCACGAGCATACACTCCCCCTTCTATTGTCTATTCAGATGTATACATGCATGTGATTGGCTGACGCTGCGTTATGTAAATGTACTGAGGAAGCGATTGGCTGTTGTAGCCGGGACTTCCTGCTGCGATCCCTATAAACAAACGGAACTCCCTCCATTCAGGAGGACAGAGACTGAGGATCCAACGTGACAACAGCTGAGCGTCTGTTTTACTTGGGAGCGCCGAGCGCGTTCGATGACGTTGTATAAAGGGAGCGGGAGGCGGGGCTTTGTAGCGCAGCGGATTTGAATGCGCAGGAAGCGAATAATATTCATTTCCAGAACCCCGTGAGTTACCCCGCCCCCCCCCGGCCTCGGCTCCGCCTCCGTTCAGAGGATAGATCGGTTACACGTATGTGTGTCCTCATCACTCCGTCTGTACAACACGTCTGTTCTCGTGTCGCCCTCAGTATTCCACCATCACGCCTGCTGCCATTCGGTCTGAAGGAAAACTTCTGGGAAATGGGGGAGATGGGCCCCTGTGGCCCCTGTACAGAGATTCACTACGATCACGTGGGTGGCCGGAACGCCTCGGCTCTGGTGAACCAGGACAGTCCGGACGTGGTGGAGATCTGGAATCTGGTGTTCATGCAGTACAACAGGTCAGTAGTGGCGGCCTAAAGCCTGATGTCTGTGCAGGAGGTCAGCACTGGGTGGCTGCGGGCTGCTCTTACCGGGGCCCGGCGCTGGTGAGGGGGCCGGCGCTGGTGAGGGGGCCGGCGCTGGTGAGGGGGCCGGCGCTGGTGAGGGGGCCGGCGCTGGTGAGGTCACCAATAACACTCGGCACTGAGGATTCGCTGTGTAGCCGAAAATATGTGGAC